TGTGTGTGTGTATGGAGTTTGCATGTTCTCCCTGTGTGTGTGTGTGTGTGTTTTACTGACTCCTTTGGCCCTAATCTTCAGAGAATTTGTAATCATTTGCTGGTTCATGTTAAACAGTTCAACAGAGGAACAAAACAGCACTGAAAAATTAGAATTAAGTTTTTTTTTTTTACATCTTATGTGATAATGTTACGTTCAGCAGAGAAGCATTTGTATGCTTTCCAGTTGGGAAACACTGATGTGAATAAATTCAACCATAATCCATGTGAGTGTGCTCCCCAGGATGGGCTCGCACTGCCATCCGCTCCCCGGGATGGGCTCGCACTGCCATCCGCTCCCCGGGATGGGCTCGCACTGCCATCCGCTCCCCGGGATGGGCTCGCACTGCCATCCATGGCTGGTTCTTGCCTTGTGAGTGACATCCCTAATCTTTGGTTAACACTTTTATTTTGTTGCACTGCAAGGGGTGCACTTCTTGACCTGGCTTTGATAGATACACAGTGTTCCAGACTCGAGAGATATACGAAGGAGGGGGGGGGGGGGGGGGGGGGGGGGGGGACTGGAATGCATAACAGTATGTCAGAGCAAAGATCTACACACCTTATGACGATCTGTTGTGCATCCGTGAAGCCGAACAGAATCTTAATAAAACTGCCACTCCCCATTTAAAATGATAGGAAAATTAATTCACTGTATATCAGTAGAGACTAGCAACCATGTTCCAATTGGGAGACCGAGCTGCAGCTTGTGATCGATTGATTTTGCACGGTTTCTCCCAAGAGGCTGTTGTAACACTACACCACTAACAAGGACCCGTGCCTCAGTTGGGGCTGATAGATTAATCATATCACTAGCTAAAAGCTGGCCTTGGAGGAGCTCAGTCTGCAAGACAATAGGTATCGACTGCGTTTGCGCTGAGCCCTGGACTGTGCCTGCGTCTGGAGGAGCGGCCGGCCTTCAGATCACGCCCCTTGCCGCTTGCCATCTCCATCCAGCAGCTCAGCACAAGTCCTCCGACTGAAAGCATATTTCATCATGCAGATTCTTCTGTCTTAAGCCTCTCGTGCTGCTCGCTGCTTAGCTCATTCGAGTCCCGGATTATTGTGTGAAAAGCTGCTCTCCCCCGTCTTCTAACACCTGCTGTCCACCAGGTCCACTTCCACCCAAAAGCCAGTGACTCGCGGGCCTTTGCTCAGATCAGAGTGCGCCTAGGGGCCCCTGGCTTGGGGCCCGCACCTCTGGGTGCTCCATCTTACTGGGATGCCAGAGGGAAGGAATAGCATTAGCAGCAGATCAGGGATTCTAGGGCATGGGGGCTTCTTCTGAGCAGTGCTATGTAAGCCCCCCCCCCCGCCAAGTCCAGATCCAAGTAATTGCCCCCTGAACATGACCCATACTTTACATTCAGATATGTAATGCTGATCTTCTCCTTACAGAAAAAATAATTTGTATTTCCCTTTCTGCTTGTTCATCCATTGGCGGAGGCTATAATATAACACCGTAAGGTTTTTCATTTTCTCTCTCTGTCTCATTCTTTCTCTATCATTCCACTCATTCTCCGTTTCTTCCCCAGTCATCGTGTCTCTGTGTATTGCACCACAAACATCTAATTTCTCATTTAGAAAAGGAAAAAAACAGTAACACTGTGCTTCTCTACATTTTTTGGCAAATTAACATGAACCCCTAGCTAAGCTGACCATCCAGCGGGGTCACATGGCCCCAGCGAGTCACATGACCCAACCAAATTAAATTGTAAAGAGATTAAGTGCCTTTAAACCTGTTGCTGTACACGCAGTACAAACCAATAAATTAGCTTAGGAGCGGAGACCACAAGGAGCCTTCTGGCAAAACCCAGCACGGAAATCAGAATGGTGCTCCGAAACATTTCTGTATTCTGCATGTGAAATGACAGAAGACGTTTTAAGAAAAGAGAGTGCCCAGATCTTGTTATAAAAAACAACAAGGCCCATACCCAAGAAAGCAGGAAGCTGTGGCATTCTGAAATGGTTCCCATCAGACCCGAACATACCAAACCTCTTCAAAGATTCTTCCTCTTTCCCCCCCCTGAAAATTCTTTAAACATCTGCTGATAGTCACCCTGCACACATCTCGCCATGGCTGCACAGAGCCCGTATTTTTAGCACAGGGGTGCAAGACCATATATACATTGTTTTTTTTTTGTGTCTGCTGGCGCTCCTCCCGTCTAAAGGCACCGAGGAGTGTAAATAAATTTAAAGATGACAGCCTGACAGAAT